TAAAGGGAATGCTAGCTCCAGTGGTGCAGGTAGTGATGTGAGACTCATTAGTTTCTATAGAATTTCCTATACTTTGGTCAGTCATTTGCTGCCAACTAAACATTTGCAGAGTTGCACTTGTACTTGTAAAAGTTATAAATATGTTTCTTTTAACATTTTTGGTGTGTGAGGCTTTACAGTTATGAGGACCACCAATCACTGAACTGCTGAGACTATTTTTTCAGGTGTACCTTCAGAAATTCAGAAATGTAGCTATGTTGTCTCTACTCTTCGATCAATTAATACAGTGTTAAATAACTAATCTGCTGGTACCATCTAATTGGATCCCCTGGTATCTCAGCAGAGAGCCAAAAGTCCTGACCTGCTGGAGTGTACTGTCAGTAGTGAGAATGTACTAGCAGTAGTCCCTGTCCCACACTTTGAGAAACAATGTTCTACAGCAGACATTCTCGTTCAGGGTCCTTACAAGGGTTTTTAGGGATTCCTTGAGCTATAGTTGATTGACCTCATGATCAAAGATGAGTTCATCATCCTTCTTGAAATAAAGACACCCCAAACAGAGCATATTTTACATTTGGCACCCCACAGAGCGTGTGGAAATCCTAAAAGACACATAGAACCTACAGGACAGAAGTGCTCGGATTCACAGTCCCATAAGGACAAGCAGGACTTCTATGAATTTCACATTGTAAAGGCAGCTGAAAACACCACAGAAGCCGAAAGGGCTGCAGGAGGTGTGATAAATCACTTAACCCCCCCCCCCCCAATTGCCCCCCCCCCCCCCCCCCGTAGCATTTTTTGCTGTGACCAAAGTGAGTAACATTTACTTCCTGGAATCCATCTGCCCTGAGAAACACCCTCCTCCCCTCTTGAAGACTCCTAGGATGTATGACATCACTTGCCTAGGCCTGGAAACAAGGAAGAAACTGAAGAAGTGTACAAAAAAGTCTAAAATAAGCTCTATTATGAGCTAAAAAAATCCACAGAGCCCACTGCGGAGGTTGGCTGCGGTACTGCATGTGACCCAGAGGAGGGAGATTCCTGTCCAGGCTGTTTTCCTCCTTAAGGGGACCTCTGGCTGACCATACTATATACATATACATGCGTATTGTAAATACGCATCTGGTGAGTGCGTAAATTTACTATATCCCTGGCACATCACCGAATGATTATATTTGGCACGAGGAATATCACTTAAGATCACCCATACAAGGACCTTCACCTATTTATGGACATTGTCACTTGTTTACATTAGGACTGAATATTTCCTTTATTTCATTAGCACCTTATTTTTTGCACATTTCATCTTGAATGTTATTATGAGTTTTATTATGAGCTTTTAATCATGCACTTTACTGTTGGATATTGAGCACTGCACCTATTATCACTATATGTTATTGGAGGTTATTTGGTTGCCTTTGTGGTGTAATAGCAGCTTGTTCTTAGCGCTCGCTTGTTTGTTTTCTCACATTATAGCTATAGTCAGTTACTGAAACCTTGATTTCCCATTGAAAAATTGCAAAATCTAGATGCCACAATTCAGTTGTGCTCAAACGTTTGCATACCCTTGGAGAATTGGTAATAGTATGTACCATTTTTAAAGAAAACATGAGTGAGCAGGCAAAACACATTTCTTTTATTTCTTATGGGTTTCATATTCAACTGTAGGTCATAACAGAATGGCACAATCATAAAACAAAACATAGCAACAAGTAAACAAATGAAATGTCCCGTTCAAAAGTCTGCATACCCTTAGTTCTTAACCACTTGCCCTCCTGAGGAGTTACCCCCCTTAATGACCAGGCCTCTTTTTGCTACTCGGCGCTGCACTAATTCAACTGATAATTGCGCGGTCATGCAATGCTGCACCCAAACAAAATTTACGTCCTTTTTTTCACACAAATAGAGCTTTCTTTCGGTGGTATTTGATCACCTGTGCGCTTTTTATTTTTCACGCTATAAACAAAAAAAAGACCAAAAATTTTGAAGAAAAACGATATTTTTTACTTTAAGCTATAAAAAATATATAGTAAACTCAAAGTTGGTTATAAATTTAGGCCAAAATGTATTCTGCTCCATGTTTTTGGTAAAAAAAATCCCAATGAGTGTATATTGATTGCTTTGTGTGGAAGTTATAGCGTCTACAAACTATAGTATAAATACTGCAATTTACTCCATTTTTCTGCTATACAGCGCTGTGCTAGTTTAAACGGACAATTGCGCGGTCATGCAATACGGTACATAAATGAAATTTACATCCTTTTTTTCCCCCACAAATTGAGCTTTCTTTTGGTGGTATTTGATTGCCTGTGCGGTTTTTATTTTTTGCGCTATAAAAAAAAAGGCTGACAATTTTGAGGAAAAAAAAACAATATTTTGGACTTTTTGCTATAAAACATGTCCAGTAAAAAAAAATGCAAAAATCAAATTTAGTCATAAATTTCTGCCAAAATGCATTCTGCGACATGTCTTTGCTAAAAAAAAAAAAAAACCAATACGTGTAAATTAATTGGTTTACGTGAAAGTTCTAGCGTTTACAAATGGCGGGAAAGATACTGGGATTTTTAGTTTTTTTTTTATACTAATAATGGCAGCGATCAGCGAATTATGGCGGCGATCAGTGACTTATGGCAGCGACCAGCGACTTATGGCGGGACTGCGGCGGACATTCTGACATTGGGGGGTACTGACTTGGGGTCACTGACATCCCCAAAAACACTAATACAGTGATCAGTGCAAAAAAAAAAAACTGACACTGTACTAATGGCACTGGGGAGGAAGGGGTTAACTTTATTTTGCACCGAAGGGTTATCTGAGTGAAGGGGAGTGTTTTACTAGGGGGCGGGGGTGTGTACTGGACGGGACAAGGCTGATCGAGAGAGAGAAACTCTTCTTTCTCGATCCGCTCGTCTTAGAGCTGTCAGGGAAGTGACAGACAGCACAGCTACTGCAGCTGTGCTGTCTGTCACTGTTTGCCACCGATCGCCGGGAAACAGCCAGAAAAGACTGGCTGTGACCCGGCGACTGACATCCGCGGCGGTGACCGGTGGGACAGATAGGGTGGTGGCGAGCCTCGCATGCGCCCCCTATCTGTTTACAAAACACGCGTTTTAAAACGTGGTTTTGCCTGCCAGTGCCACCCAACCGCTGTATTTCTACAGTGGCAGGGCGGCAAGTGGTTAATATTGTGTATTGCTCCCTTTAGTATCAATGACAGCATGCAGGCTTTTTTTTTCTAATAGTTGTCTATGAAGCCCCAAATTCTTGCAGGTGGTATAGCTGCCCATTCGTTTTGGCAGAATGCCTCCAGGTCACGCAAAGTCTTTGGTTGTCTTGCAAGAACCACAAGTTTGAGCTCTCCCCAGAGAGGCTTGATGATAAAAAGGTCAGGAGACTGTGATGGCCTCTCCAGAACCTTCACCTTTTTTTCTGCTGTAACCATTGGAGGGTCAACTTGGCCTTGTGCTTAGGGTCATTGCTGGGAAGTCCAAGAGTGTCCCATGCTTCCCATTTCGTACAGAAAAATGCAAATTGTCTGGTAGTATTTTCTAATAACATGCTGCATTCATCTTGCCATCAATTTTCACAAGATTCCCTGTGCCCTTAGAGCTCACACCCCCCAAAACATCAGTGAGCCACTGCCATGCTTCACAGTGGGGATGATATTTTTGTCACTGTTGACCCCTCTCTAAACATAGTGCTTATGATTGTGACCATAAAGCTCAAATTAGGTCTTGTCACTCCAGATTACAGTGTGCCAGAAGCTATGAGGTTGGGCATATTGTAACAGGGCTTCTTTCTGGCAGCTCGATCATGTAGCTCATTTTTGTTCAAGTATCATATTGTGCTCCTTGAAAACAACCATGCCATCTTTTTCTGGAGCAGCCTGTATTTCTCTTGAGATTACCTGTGGGTTTTTCTTTGTATCTCAATCAATTCTTCTGGCAATTGTGGCTGCAATCTTTCTTGGTCTACCTGGCCGTGGCTTAGTATTAAGAGATCCCCAAATTTTCCACTTGTTAATAGGTGAATGAACAGTACTGACTGGCATATTCAAGGCTTTGGATATCTTTTTATATCCTTTTCCATCTTTATAAAGTTCCATTACCTTGTTATGCTGGTCTTTTGACAGTTCTTTTCTTCTCCCCATGGTTCAGTATCTATCCTGTTCAGTGCATCCATGTGAGAGCTAACAAACACATTGACTATTTATACACAGACACTAATTTCAATTGAAAAAGCCACAGATGTGGTAACTTAACCTTTAATTGCCATTTTAACTTTGTGTGTATGTACCAAGGAGAACATTCCAGGGTATGTAAACTTTTGATCATGGCCATTTGGGTGATTTCTGTTATCATTATAATATAAAAAAGGAGCCAAACAACTCTGTGAAAATAAATTGCTTTATATGATCACTATTTTTAAATAAAAGACAGTTTTTTGGCATGATCAGTCATATTTTCAATAGAGATGGGCTTAATGTTCAAGACGAACATTGGCTGTTCGTGTGTTCGGCAAACACACGAACTGTAAGGGGGTTTGGCGGGCTGTTCGCCCACTGCAATCCAGAATGCACAGGTCAGGTGCAATGCTTTGGCCAATTACAGCTCATGATGATGTCACAAGGGGTCAGAGTCACCCGGTGATGTCAACTGGGTGACCCCACCCCCCTTGTGATGTCATCACAGTATTTAAGAACTGTCAGGCTGGCACAGCTATCAAATGACAGGAGGCAGCATCAAGAGTGCAGCATTTTTTTCTTTTTTCGGGTCGGTGGTGGCGGCGGGCATTGTGATTGACCTTGGATCTACTTCGGGGGACTTATTTATTTCTGCTTTTAATAAAGGACCTGTCAAAGACCCTCTTCTGTCATTTTTTACATTACACTTTTTTTTTTCCTGAATGAGTAGCGGTACCATGTTCCCCTCACTCATTCACATAGTGGGGGTGGCCAGAATCTTGGGGCCCCCTTGTTAAAGGGGGCTTCCAGATTCTGATAAACCCCCCGCCCACAGACCCCCACAACCACAGCCATATTTGTGGGAAAGAGGCCTTTGTCCCTATCAACATTGGGACAATGTGCTTTGGTGGGGGAGCCCCCCTGCCCCAAAGTACCCCCTCATGTTGAGTGTATGTGTCCTGTTATGGTTCGGGAGGGGGGGGTGCTCGCTTGTCCCCCTCCCTTTCCTGACCTGCCAGGCTACAAGCTCAGATAAGGGTCTGGTATGGATTTTGGGAGAGACCCCCCACGCCATTTGTTTTTTAAATTTTGGCGTGGGGGTTCCCCTCAAAATCCATACCAGACCCAAAGGTCTTGGTATGGATGGGGGGGGGGACCCCCCCACACCAATTTTTAAATATTTTTTAATTGCTGGCAATTCTTTTTACATTCAGCTGTCAGTAGGGAACCCTGCTGAAAACTGAAATATTAAAGAATGTTTTCACTATTAAAATACCGCATGACTTAATAATATAACTCATGTGGTATTTTAGTAGCTGGGCGGTACCTTAACTTGTACTCGGATGTGGTAAGATACCGCTTAGCGAATGGTCCCGGTTCGAAGTTTGCAGTTGAACTTTCGTTATTTTCAAATGTTTGACTGTGAACTGAACAGGGGGGTTTTGGTCCATCACTAATTTTCAATATTAATGGCAAAATTTCACGATTTCTGCCAGAGTATGCAAACTTTTGAGCACAACTGTATCTATAATGCAAACACATTGTCAAACTTGACCAGCAAATGTGCTTCCTAAAAGGTGTATAAGATTTAGCGGCAATAGCACAGAGAATTTGCCAGTGTATGAATCTGCCCCTATAAACCTTTATTGCTCCTAATAGGCCACCAATGAAGGTCAAGAAGAAGCAAAATGCCAGCCCATAGTTTTCTGCTATGAAATACCTGAAGAGGGAATTGCCTTCTTTTGAATTTTGCTCTGAGGTTTGAAGATTGTACTTCCTTTTATACCTTTGAACATCTGTAATACATTTTTGAATAAAACCCCATCATACAGAAAGCGAGAAATTTTCTTGTGCCGTTTCTCAGAGTTGAAAAATGGACATTTCCAAGGGCATAGTCAGGGACAGTTGGCAGCCATGGGTGGATGACATATACAAATTCCTTCCAACATACTAACATCAGGAAAACAGCAGGCCAGCCGCCTCAGTTCCACTAAAGCGTGCCATCATCTGGACGTATTTGGCCAGATCACACTTTGTTCCTTCACAGCTGACATTTTTCATTATTTTGATATTGTTGGTTGTGGAAGAATGGAACAACAAGAGCTTAAAATGGAGTTACAAACAAACGCTAGATATGTTCTCAATACAAAAAGTTAAATATTTTACATAAAAGTAGTATAAATAGCTGGATTGGTTCTTATATTAGCTCATTAGCTTAAAGTGGCATTGTCTTTGTATAGCCCACCCCATAATCACTGATACGTACTTCTCTAGCAGCCCCCCTAATCCCCTTCCTTCTTTGTAGCTGGCACTAATAAAATCACCTTGTCCTGAATTAGGGATCTTAAAGTTGTTGTAAACCTCAGACATGAACTATGAAAAAAGCATATCCCTCTATAGTGTGTACTTGTCTCAATTAAGGGGTAGATTTGCTAAAACTGGTGAAATCAGAATCTGGTGCTGCTATGTATGGTAGCCAATCAGCTTCTAACTTCAGCTTGTTCAATTAGGCTTTGGCAATAAAACCTGGAAGATGATTGGTTTCTAGTAGAGCTGCACCAGATTTTGCACTTTCCAGTTTTAGTAAACAACCCCCTAAGGCTCCATGTACACGGGATGCTTGGAAAACACTTCTGAATGATGGAAACTAACTGCTGGAAAATGTAGGTTAAAAAAGGTCTGTTTAGCAGCGTTTGCATACCGTGGTTATGTGCATTTATGCACATTTATGAGCATTTGCGTTTAGAAGCGTTTTTTTTAAGATAACCTCAGGAGACCTTCCAAAATGCCCAGAATGCACTGAAAAACAGTAAAAAATTAACAATTTCAGACATTTTGAGAGAAATAGAGAGAGCAGAAGCAGAGAGAGTAGTATGTGTTGAGATGACCTGTCTTTTCTGGTTGTATTCACTATGGATCCCATCATGAGCATAATGCGGCGCGTTCTACCATTTTTTCCTTCACGCAAAACCTGGAACGGACTGAGCTGGTGTACCGGGTCCATTTGAATACATGGAAAACACTTTGCATGCATTTCTGATGATGAAAAAAGGCTCTGGACAGCATCTAGATATGGAACAGTTAAAAACGCTTCTAAATGCAAATGCTTATAAACGCTGTTAGCCGCATTTACAAGCGTTTGGCGTTTGAAATGCTGATAAAATCTACTCCTGAACACAAGTTTGGTGCATTCAAAAAAAACGACTGTAAACTCAGCTGCTTGTAAATGACTATAAACGACATAGTTTACATGGACACGTTGGAAAACAATAGGGAGAGTTCAGGGGCTGCTGAAAAAAATGCAGAAAAGCTCCTAAACGTGAGTTTATCAGCTGCAGTGTACATGACCCCTTAGTGTTTATTTCTGTCAGCTGGCTCATTCCTCTGCTATCACCATGAGACACTTCTGATGCGTTTTCCTGACACCAAGAGAAAAATGGTGATGGGGGGTACAGCCTGTGATTGACAGCCTCAGCTCTGTTCCTGTGTCTTCTGTGAAGGGGGATGTGTCCCTTCCCTCCAATAGGCTTTCAGAGCTCTACTCACTGAGCTCTTCAGTGTGTAATTTCAGTTCTCCACCCCCTGTTTTCTGAAAGCTCAGGCAAGCTTTATAAATTCTGGAATTTGAACAGATGTAGAGAAGAGAATACTGCAGATAAACAGGCACAACTTATGAAGAAGGATTTGTTTAATCTCTGTGTATCACTTGAGGCCAGTCATTTCACTGAGTATCTATAAGGGATTTCAACTCCAAAATGTAGGTTACCCTAACAATGAACTTCTTTTATTTGCTCCCTTTTGATCTGTTAAATATACCATTGGAAATATTTTGTTACATATCTTTGACAAGTGCAAAAAATAGCTGTTGATCAGAAATTCAGAACTGTCCTGTGTATTATTTTTACACTTCCTGTGTTATTGCAAGAAATCTAATTAGTCCTTGTTGTTATCTTGGGACTACAGAATCATTAGACTTTATGTTGTGGAAGAATAGACTTGGTTTGAACAGTATTGCAAAAAAAAAAAAAAAAAACTGGGCAGGGCTGACACCAATGAATCCACAAAAATGCTGTGTGTTGTCAGCCCGCAACAAGAATTAATAGATTATTTCCAGCATATCAAATGGTATTTTCTTGCACTTGCAGAGTTTTAAAGCTTAACCCCTAATAAGCAAAAGTTGTCAAAATCCAAAAGCCATGTGTATTCGTATTTAAATCTTGGTGTATTTTGTGTATTTCTTCCAGATCTGTGATGTAATCCTGTGTGAAACTTTACCTTTTTGCAGGAGTTTCCTGTCATAAAGACCGGTCATTTCTGCTCTTTCCATATGCAGGGTGACTGGTCATGTACACGCCCCCTCTTCTAGTTCTCTACAGGCAGCCTATGGCTGGTGGACCTTCTGGGTCCCTCCCACAGCTGTGCTCTCTGCACAGGCTATCTACAACACAGTGATTATATCACTACCAGGGGCGGACTGACAACTCATGGCCCCCCCGGGCAATTGGGGATCATGGGGCCCCTGTGTCCTTGCCCAAACTCAAAAAAGCCTATGAAAAAGGTACCAGGGGCATCTCATGGGGCCCCCTACTGACCCCGGGCCCTCGGGCAAGTTTCCAAATGGTCAGTCCGCCCCTGATCACTACTAATTTTAGAAAGTAATTACTGGGTTTGTAAAGGCATTTGGTGCACATAGAGTTCATATATATCCTTTGCAGCTACTGAGGATATTTAAATGAAAGTTTTTTTGCCTGGATTTCTGCTTTACGGACCAGTTCACAACACAAAAATGCACTCCAGATGCATTCCGGATACGTTTTTGCTTACAGTTCACACCACACTCTGTTCCGGTGCAGTTTTGATGCAGTTTGCTATGTTCCAGTACAGTGCTGTGCAGAAAAAATACAGCATGTTCTTTTTTTCCTGCACCGAAAATTGACTGGAACTGACTGCACTAGTGTGAACCGGGGCCATTGGATTACATGGAAAACACTATGCACGCATTTTTGATGCAGAAAAAAGTGCACTGAACTGCATCCAGTGTGAACTAGCTCTATGGGCCTGTTCACACTATAGAAACACAGTCCAGAAACATTCTGGATGTGTTTTTTTATGTGAATTTTTGCCGTATTCTGGTGTGTTTTTGATGCTTTTTTGATGCGTTCCAGTGCATTTTAATGCATTCCAGTTCATTTTTTCCCGTCTTTTTCTTTAATTTAAATAGAGACATGTGCATTCCAGTGCGTTTTTGGTGCGTTCCTGTGCGTTCCAGTGCCTTTTTTATGTGTTTTACCACGTTCCAGTACAGTTCTGTGCAGAAGAAATGCAGGATTTCCTACTTTTTTTTCTGCAACCGGAACGCACTTGAACTGCAAGCACTGATGTGAACTATGACACTGACAGCCATATAACCTATTTTCTGTGCTTTTTAGATGCAGAAAAAAAATGCATGTAGTGTGAACTGGCCCTAAAGGTGGTAAACAAGGGAACTCTGCATTTATTGCAGATATGTACTGCATATTGTTTTGTTTTTTTTATTGCCAACTTTACTCATAATTTGAAGCCAATAATGCACATTTCAGTTAGTGCATGAAAAACAATAATGGAAATATGTTTCAGTGTGAAAGAGTTAACATTACTCAACCTGCATGCCGTGATAAGTCAGAGCCAGGGGCGGACTGACCATTTGGAAACTTGGGCACTGCCCAAGGGCCCAGGGTCAGTAGCGGGTCCCATGAGATGCCCCTGGTACCTTTTTCATAGGCTTTTTTGAGTTTGGGCAAGGACACAGGGGCCCCATGATCCCCTATTGCCCGTGGGGCCCCATGAGTTGTCAGTCTGCCCCTGGTCAGAGCCTGGATGGAACAAAGCTAAAAGGGAGGGCCAGCATGACTGGGGCTTGCAGACAAGGCGGAGAATGGATTGAGGTGGGAGTATATGCAGGAGGTGGGAGTGGTTACTCACCTGGTTGGAGTAAGCAAGCTTGAGGGTGGTCTTTAAATGGATTTACTTGTGAGCCACTGGAGTATACAAATGAGTGAGTGTATTAGATCGCTGGTTAACTTGCCCACCCTCATATATTGTGCGCGTAATATAAAAAAATTAAATGATTACCGCTCTCTAATACTATCATACATCCCCCAGACGAATCTACGTAATCCCTGTGGCGCAACGCGTTGGGGAGGGGCAGTGACGTTGCCACGCATCTGACCAACGATACGGCGAGTACTGACGGTGTGTGGTAACACACCCACGAGTCTTATCTTCATCGCATGTGGCGGTTTACTGTTTATACAAAGCGCAGTGATATTTGATGACATGTGAGTGCAATATGGGAGCACATTAAAGTTTGTTTTTACCTCTGGGATAAGGCACCATATTTCTCATTTCCTTTTTTGCATGGGTTATACGAGGATATTCAGAGAATTGGAATAAGGAGTTGACCAAGGAGGGAGAAACCCTCACGTTCTCACAGGCTCATAGAGAAGGATGCAAGATCACAGCTATCCACTACAAATTAATTGGAAGGAGAGTATTTAAAGTCTTGTTGGAATACCTCTGCACTGTTGGGACTTTATAAATTGTTTGTTTTTATTTTCATTTTTTTTTCATTGTTTTCCCACCTTTTAATATCATTTTTTATATATTGAAATTAATTATAATATATTGATTATATATTTTTGCACATTTATATGGGTATTGCACATTTGGTGACACTTTGTGTGATCACAATTTAATTTGAGGGTGATCTTGCCAAGATGAGGAGAGGGGTTTGGACTTGTCTGAGGTCAGTTGGAGCTTGTGCCAGCACGGGTGTGGTTTCTCCCGCCCTCCCTCTTTGGAGCTGTTTGTTGTTTTGTTTTGCTGTTTTGTTTTTTGTTTGCTTTGTTTATTGGTTTGTCCTTTTGTGTTTGTGGTGTTGTTTGTTTTGTGTGGGTTCCTTGATTTTTTTTTTCTTTTCTTGCTCATTTGGTGTCCTGTGGTGTTTGTCTGGTTTTTTCTGTTTTTGTCATGGCAGCCGGCAGGGGGCGCTGGGTCTTTGAAGGCGGTGCTGGAGTGATAATTTGGTGGATTATGGGTTGGGCCCATCTTAGGAATGGGTGTTTCTTCCCAATTATAAGGTCATGTTGGTAATGTGGAAGTTCATTGGCTGAATTTGGGACTATGTAACTGTAGTATGTCCCCAAGGCGGTGTAGTAGCGCCTGGGGGCCTTTCCATTGGGTGTCAGATACAGCCAAGTTATTGATGTGAGTAACAGTGCCTTCGAAGACCTTGGACCCGGCTGGGATCATTACTGGCAGTTATTTGATTGTACTGTATGAAGTGTTATATACAAGTTATGTTAAATAAAAGGGCTGCTATAGCCGGTTTTACACCAAAAGGAGAGTCGTGTGGTTATTTCAGGTGGGGGAGGTTGAAGGGGTGGTTGTTTTAAGGTTTAGGTGGTAAGTATTAGCCTCGATGTTCTGCATGTCCCTCAGTCATGACAAAATCTGACACTAGGTTTGCTTTAATTTTTTTTCAATGGAAATAAGGAACATGAGCAAATAATGGCCATTTGGCATCTAAAGTAGCTTGAGGGCCTGCAGCTACTAATTGTCCTGTAGACCCTTTTAAGCTGCTAACAGGACAACATTGCTGACGAAGCTTGCAGCATGTGTAAATGCTTGTGATTCTGTATACTGTTGTTATTACCAAGTATCTCTGCATTATAATTGCAGCATTCGCTCTGCAGCTGTGTTATGCACTTGTATTTTCTGATTGCATTATGTATTGGCTTGTACAGTGAAATGTAATCAGAGAATCCCTCATTGAGGCACTGTGTTTAAAGTGATTCAGCAATCACGGTGACTTCTGCACAATCAATATGGTGTCATTTTTCTCCTTCCCTGGCTATTGTGTCACTACATATTGCTTGCTATATACAGTGTATACTGCCTCCCACTATGACCCAGGAAGGTAGCAGATGTCACTAAACACAGTGGTAAAGGGACACTCCATTCAGCTATATGAGCAGCTGAAAGATTTGACTTTTGTTCATTCTTTAAAGTGGTTGTAAACCTCTGAAATGAAAAATTAACAAAACATATCCTTCTATAGGATAGAAGGGTGTTCCAGTACGCAGCCTGTGATTGACAGCCTCAGCTGTGCATGTTTCCCTATGAAACTGTGTAGAAGGGAGTGTGTCTATTCCCTCCAGTTATGTATTTTACACTCAGCTCTCTGTTCTATGCTGTGCAGTGTTTGACATTAGATCAACGACCTCTGCCTTCTGACAATCAGGCTGTGTAAAATGTACATTTTGAATGGCGGTAGAAGAGAAGGTAGTGTAGATAAACAGGTGCAGTTTATGTAGGAGGATTTGTTTCATCTCTGTTTATCACATGAGGCTAGTCCCTTAACTGAGTATATGTAAGGGTTTAAAGTCACTTAAAACGGTAAGGAGGAATCATTCTCACAGTTTTTATAGGTTCTGTTTACACCTGTGGGTGTTATTATTATTATTATTATTATTATTATACAGGATTTATATAGCGCCAACAGTTTGCTCAGTGCTTTACAATATAAAGGGAGACAAAACAGCAATGATACAGTTCAATACAAGAGGGATAGGAGGGCCCTGCTCCTTGGAGCTTACAATCTAAGAGGGAGTTGCTAGTGGTACAAAGGTAGAAACTGTGGGGGACGAACTGATGGGAGGATTTGGTTACTACCCAAAGGCAAGATAAGCATCCCTGAAGAGATAGGTTTTCTGGGATCACCTAAAAGTGGGCAGAGTAGGCAATAGTCGGATAGATTGGGGTAGAGAGTTTCAGAAGATGGGGGAGGCTCTGGAGAAGTCCTGGAGACAAGCATGGGAGGAGGAGATAGGGAGCTAGAGAGCAGGAGGTCATGGGATGAGTGGAGAGGACATTCTGAGTGATATTTAGAGACAAGTTTGGTGGTGTAATTGGCGGCAGAGTTATAAATGGCTTTGCCTGTTATTGTTAATGTTTTTAATTTTATTCATCGGGCAATGGGAAGCCAGTGGATGGTTTGTCAGAGAGGGATGGAATGGTTGGTAAGGTGGATGAGTCTGGCAGCAGCATACATGATAGACTGAAGAGGGGATAGCCTGCAATTAGGTAGTCCAATGAGGAGGGAGTTACAATAGTCAAGGCAATAGATAAGAAGGGAGTGAATAAATTGCTTAGTGGCTCTGGTGGTTATATGGGCATATCTTGGAGATGTCACAGAGGTGAAGTCTACAAGATTTGGACAGTGATTGGATTTGGGGCTGAAAGGACAGATGGGAGTCCAGGATTACATATAGTACCCTGGCATGAGGGGAGGGACTGATGGTTGTAATATTGATCTTAATGGTAAAGTCAGGGGAGGGGGCACGGGCTGGAGGGAATATAATGAGCTCAGTTTTAGAAAGGTTGAGTTTGAGGAAGTGGAGTGGAATCCATGCTGATATGTCACTTAGTAGGTTAGTACTGTGAGAGGAGACTAAAGGAGTGAGGTGAGGAGTAGAAAGATAGATCTGTGTGTCATCAGCATAGAGATGGTACTTGAAGCCATGGGAGTTTAACAAGTGACCAAGGGAGGAGGTGTAGATGGAGAAGAGAAGGGGTCCTAGGAGAGAACCTTGAGGGACCCCTACAGAAAGAGGAAGTGAAGAATGGTACTTGAAGCCATGGGAGTTTAACAAGTGACCAAGGGAGGAGGTGTAGATGGAGAAGAGAAGGGGTCCTAGGAGAGAACTTTGAGGGACCCCTACAGAAAGAGGAAGTGAAGAGAACGAAACAGAGTTATAGGTAACATTGAAGGAGCGCTACAATAGGTACTAGGAGAACCAGGAGAGAGCAGTCTCGGAGGCCAAGAGAGTGGAGTTTTTTTTTAGAAGGAGGGGATGATCAACAGAATCAAAAGCTACAGAGAGGTCAAGTGGTAAGAGTACGGAGTAGTGGCCATTGGTTTTAGCTGTTAGTAGATCATTAGTGAGTTTTAGTAGGGCAGTTTCAGTGGAGTGTAGTGAGCAAAAGCCAAACTGTAAAGGGCTAAGAAGGCTGTTGTCAGTGAGGTAGGAGCTCAGGTGATTGTAGACTAGGCATTCTAAGGGAGCAGGGAGATGGGTCTTAAGTTGTTCAGGTTGGTGGGGTCCAGTGAGGGCTTTTTAAGTAATGGGTGATCTGTGCATGCTTTAGAGGGGAGGGGAAGGTGCCAGTAGAGAGGGCGAGGCTGATGTTATGGAGCATAGGATAGAAAAGAGGGTGACCGTAGTAGTTGTGAGGGAACAGGATCCAAGGGGTAGGTGGTGAGACGGGCTTCTGGGAAAACTTTAGTGATCTCTTTGGAAGTAGCAAGGTGAAAAGAGGAAAGTGGTGAGGGAGGTTTAGTATAAGGTATGCTAAGTGGGATAGATGTCTGTGCAATAGAGATGCCATACAAATTGCATCAATCTTGTTTTTGAAATGATTGGCAATATCGCAAGCAGTGAGTGAGTTACTAGGTGGAGGTGGCGGTGGAGAATGTAGAGAGTTAAAATTAGAAAGAGAGACGACGAGGACTGGATGACAAGGTATTAAGAGTGACAAAGTAGGCTTGTTTGGCAGCATGGAAGGAGGAATTGTATTTTAAAAAGAAGATTTGTATAGGGTGAATGCTAGCAGGGATTTGGTTTTACGCTACAATCATTCCAGTGCACGGCTATGTCTCTTAAGATTTCTGGAGTCGTCAGTCTGCCAATGTTGTAATGGTCGGGGCCTGATACTTCATGTAGTTAGAGAGCAAGTGAGTCTAGTGTGAAAGAAAGCAAACTGTTGTAGACAGAAGTGACTGTGCCCCCTGTCTGTGACTTCCCCCATAAGCTGGTCTAATTTTATAGAAAGATGATTAAATGAGGAATCCTTCCCCACCCCAATTAGGAACTGATAAGGAACACATGAATTTGGGAGGTGGAGGGGATGGTTAAAGCCAGACCAGCCACAGGCCAAAGTCATAAAAGATCATTCTTTTTTTATAAAATTTTTCTTATTCAGTTTTGCATAGAAACAAAATATAAAAACTTAACATTGCACCGCGCAGGGCACCAGACACCATACAGGCCTCGATGGGCCCTGAACAATTACAAGAAGAATAGTGCAAAAAACTTATATTGGTATTTAATAACAGAGACCAACTAACAGAATTAAATAACTTAACCCCCCCTCTTTCCCATTACACCCCCACCACCTTCAATCCAATGATTATCATTCAGGGAGATCCCTCCAACAGTATAACCTCCTTCAGTCAGCAAGTAATAGTAACACAAGAGAAAAATATGCAGGTAAAATCTCTCATTCAGGCCCTCACAGACATGACTATAAGAGAGCACGAGGGATAATTATATGGTTAACAGGTATTTGGAATTTGTAAGAGACCTCAGTATAATACACCATGTGGCCTACCCCGTCATGGCAGAAGCAGGGGCTAACCTACCGCAAGGCAAACAAGGCGTTTGCCTTGGACGGCATTTTTCAGGGGGGCGGCGCAGAAGGGCAGAGGCAGCTCTTTAATTAGACCTCGCAGCTGTCTACTTTACCTAATTAAAGAGCTGCCTTTGGTCTTAAACAGTCAGGATCTGAGGGCAGAGTGAGGAGAAGCAGCAGGTGGGAGGCACACACACTCCGAGAACGGTAATGGAGGAGGAGAAGGCATCCTCCACAACTACAGCTCAGCGGGGATGGCGGCGCAGGCCAATCGGAGACAGGGAGAGAAGGGGCATGGGGGGCACAGTCCAATGAGCAAGAGGGGAGTGGAGAGAGAGGGTTTCCGGAAAAGGTGGGGTGGAAAAGGGAGCAGTGACGTTGAGATTGAGGTTGGGGCAGGGTAGTGACAGAGGGGGAGTGGTGGCATGAGAGAAATAACTGTGCACAGATGTATATAGAGAAGTGTGTATAATGTACAGGAGTGAGACAGAGAGAAGAGTGTGTATAGTGAACAGCAGAGAGAGAGAGAGAGAGAGAGAGAGAGAGAGAGAGAGGAGTGTGTATAGTGAACAGCAGAGAGAGAGAGAGAGAGAGAGAGAAGAAGTGTGTATAGTGAACAGCAGGGAGAGAGAGGAGTGTGTATAGTGTACAGCAGGGAGAGAGAGAGAGAGAGAGAGAGAGGTGTTTGTATAGTGAACAGCAGGGAGAGAGAGGCATGTGTATAGTGTACAGCAGGGAGGAGAGAGAGGAGTGTGTATAGTGAACAGCAGGGAGAACAGAGAGAGGAGTGTGTATAGTGAACAGCAGGGAGAGAGAGAGAGAGTGTGTATAGTGAACAGCAGGGAGAGAGAGAGAGGAGTGTGTATAGTGAACAGGGGAGAGAGAGAGAGAGGAGTGTGTATAGTGAACAGCAGGGAGAGAGAGAGGAGCGTGTATAGTGTACAGGAGGCAGAGAGAGAGGAGTGTGTATAGTGAACAGCAGGGAGTGAGAAAGGAGTGTGTATAGTGAACAGCAGGGAGAGAGAGGAGTGCGTATTGTGAACAGCAGGGAGAGAGAGAGGAGTGTGTATAGTGTACAGGAGGGAGAGTGAGAGGAGTGTGTATAGAGAACAGCAGGGAGACTGAGGAGTGTGTATAGTGCACAGGAGGGAGGGAGAGAGGAGTGTGTATTGTAAACAGGAGGGAGAGAAGGAGAAATGTGTATAGTGTACAGGTGGGAGAGGGAGAGGAGTGTTTATAGTGAACAGCAGGGAGAGAGAGAGGAGTGTGTATAGTGAACAGCAGGGAGAGAGAGAGGAGTGCGTATTGTGAACAGGAGGGAGAGAGAGAGGAGTGTGTATAGTGTACAGAAGGAGAGAGAGAGAGGAGTGTGTATAGTGAACAGCAGGGAGAGAGAAAGGAGGGTGCATAGTGACCAGCAGGGAGAGAGAGAGAGGAGTGTGTATAGTGAACAACAGGGAGAAAGCAGAGTGTGTATAGTGAACAGCAGGGAGAGAGGAGTGTGTATAGTGAACAGCAGAGAGAGAGGAGTGTGTATAGTGAACAGCAGGGAGAGGGGAGTGTGTATATTGAACAGCGGGGAGAGAGAGAGAGAGAGAGAGAGAGAGAGAGAGAGAGAGAGAGAGAGGAGTGTGTATAGTGAACAGCAGGGAGAGAGGAGTGTGTATATTGAACAGCAGGGAGAGAGAGAGAGAGAGAGAGAGAGAGTGTATAGTGTACAGGAGGGAGAGAGAGAGGAGTGTGTATAGTGAACAGCAGGGAGAGATGAGTGTGTATTGTGTACAGGAGGGAGAGAGAGAGGCCTGCTGACCCCATCCTCTGCCCCACTGACCCCGTCCTCTGCCCCATTGACCACTTGCTCTGCCCTATTGACCCTGTCCTCTGGCCCCATTCTATGCCATGCTGACCCCATCCCCTGTCCCACTGAGCTCAAGCTCTGCCCTACTGACCCCATCCTATACCCTACTGACCCCATCCTCTGCCATGCTGACTCCGTCCTATGTCCCGCTGACCCCATCCTCTGCCCCATTGCCCACATATGTGTCACTTGGATGAATCATGTCTCAGGGTCTGATGAGGAAGCCACAGATGTTCACTGTCAACGGCTGCAACTTTCTCATCAGATCCTGAGACAAGAACGGTATACTGTGGCTGGGGTGGGACAAATTTAGATGGAGGGGGGCACCCGATGTTAGTCTTGCCTAGGGTAGCACAAAACCAAAATACACCACAAGGCAGAAGAGGAAAGCCACGCTTGCCAAACTTTATTAAACTTCTTCACACAACCCCTAGATAGGTAAGTGGCCTTGTAGTACGGGATCATCGTATTTACTAGACCTTTCCAGAAGGAAACCATGGGAGCAGTGGGTTTCTTCCAGTGCAATATAATAACCTTATGAGTAAAAAATGATAAAATATTGAGAAGGGTTCTATGGGCATTGGTTGGAACCACCTCATCTACCAAGCCCAGGAGGCATACAGAGACAGAGGAACTGGGGTAGTGAGGGCCTCCGAGATACACAATGTAACGTCTTTCCAGAAAACAGTAAAGGACTGGCAGTTCCAGAATATGTGAGTGAAATCAGCAGGGGAATGGGAATAACACCAACACTCCGCTGTGGAAGTGGGGTATACCTGCCTGGGTATAATATATTTTGTGTAGGAATTTAAAGTGAATCAATCTATCCTTAGCCAACACCAGATGTTTGAAAGGGTGGTCCCACATCTCATCCCAGTCTTCCCCCTGGATACCCGGTACTTCCACACTCCATTTTTCCCTACAGCTTTGCAACTGTATGGGGGATATTTGGAACATTTCCTTGTATACCACTGATAAGGTTTTTAAAAGCGAATCATCTGTCAACAGACTTTCAAGGACCGAAGGCTGAGTCTCTATGGTCAAGTTGCTAAATTGAGATTGGTGCGCGTGATGCAGTTGAAAATATCGGAAATAATAGTGATATGGAAGATTATATTTTATATTTAACTGATCAAATATAACTTTTTCCCTAACTTTTTCACACCCACCCGTTCGATGCCTCTGGTCACCCACCCCCGGGTCCGGTATAAAAAGTGGAAGTGAGACAAATATGGGTTCATCCATAAAGGAGAGGAAGGTAAAACCCCTTCCATTTCAGGTTGCCTCAGGTTAGTAACAAGTTCCCAAACCCTGATAGTGGCTTTCATGGAACCTGTGAGTAGAAGAGAAGACCTCGCTCCCCTGAACAGTGCCAACCATAGACTTTCTTAGGACCCCAAAACTGCTGCCTCCAGGACCATTGCCGAATCTGCACCATCTTTCAAAAGCCAGTGATGGACAAACACCATTTTGGCCTGCTAGATAGTATATACATTTTATACATTTTCATGTATTATTTGGGTCCTTAGGACACCCCATGGTTATTTCTATGCGAGTTGGTTATGTATTATATTGGGGTCATTACTCTTAATATGTTAATTTATTTCTGAACCCTCTTTTTCTTCTTTTTGATTGACTTTTCATTTTGTCCTCAACTAAGAGTGTCCCGGTTTTTACTTTACTTTCCATAGATAGTATTTCTGCCAGTCTGGTAGCGCTATTCCTGGGAGAGTGGGGGGTGAATTAGCTTGTGGTGGGGTTTGTTCCATCAGGGAGGCAGACACCCAGTGGACATGTATACCATCGATCAGTGTCTGACATGGGAGGTCCTTCAATTCCAGGGGTAGGGGCCCTTGTGATTGGGTATGTACACCGGATCTCCGATGTTATGTTTACTGTGTATGTCTTTCATGAATAAACAATTTTTGAGGTTAGCCTATTAGGTGTGCAGTCTATTTTCTTTTTTCTTTGTTTTTGCTAAGTCTTGTATAAGTCTACCGGAAAGCCATCAGAGCCTGGTGCCTTGTGCAAGGGAAAGGCCCCAATAACACCCTCAATCTCAAGGGGGGTTATCTTGGCTTACATCAATTCCCTGTCTGACTCTGAAAGTGCTGGAAAATTCAGAGCAACAAGACAACGTCTTAGGGAGGCAGCATCATATGGTGATATGGGCGAATATAGGGAAGAGAAATAGTGCACAAACTCTTCCATAATCTGCGATGGATCAGTCATCTTAATAGTCGGTATGGAGGAGCTGACCCTCTGATCCACCACAACAAAGCCAGAAGCTTGAAAATTGAAAAAATGCTGCTGAGCTTATTAAATAAACCTGTGTACAAGTCCAGAAGCTTACCATTTTTAGTGCCTTGAGTGAACAGAGACTCAGCCTTGTGTCTACATTCTGTATGAGCAAGATCATAGAAGAGATGCCTTGCCTCCAGCAAAGCAGTGTAGGAGTCAGCTGATGATGACTTAGTGTGGTCCTCTGTACATCTCTTCTCGCGCTCCTGTAATTACAAAATACCACTATTATGATATTTTCATGCTGTTTTGATGGCTGATATAAATTCACCCCTTTGCATAGTCTTGAATGCATCCCATACCACAGGGGGGAAGCTAAGTCTACATTATTGGGCCAGTAGGCCATAGTTGCTGATTGTATATGGGTTGAGACCTGATCTACGTTAAACCACCCCAGGGATAATTTCCATGTGACCTCCCTACACCTCCCAAACACTTAAGATCAAATGCAAATGGGGTGTGATCAGATTCTTGCGGAGAATCAAAGAACTTTACAGCACCTTTGTGTTGGACCTGGAGCTTATTAGGGTATAGTAGGCTTTACTGAAGGTCTTTCTCCCGCATGTGTTTCCGTACTGCCGTGACGGAACAACATTTCCTTTGGGTCTCATCTGAGAAATCTGGAAAGAACATAACTTTGGCATTTTCATACTGTAGGTCAGGGTGTTTTTGGGCTTGCACCAGGATCATGTACCTGTCCCGGCAGTTCAAGAAGTGTACTAGGAATGGTCTGGGGGTAGCACCAGGGGCGCACAAGCCTGTGGGAACTAGATGGGCTCATTCCATCACATAGGCCAGCATTTGTTTGAAAACCTGCTCAGCAAATATGGCAGGCCTGGCACCCTCCACCCCTTCTGGGAGCCCCACCACCCACACGTTGTTCCGGCATTGTCTGTCCTCAGCATTGTCTGCCCACTTTTGTAATGCTCTTACCCATTCCTGTAGCTCTGTTAGCAGGGCGCTGTGAGTAGTGGTGGTATCTTATACATCTAAGATACGCTCCTCTGCTGTGGTCAGCCTGCCCCAGATCTTATCCAGACCATGGCATATCAGGGTACATTCCGACGCCAGGTGGTCAATACGGATCATTAGGGTGGCTTTACAGCCGTCGATAGCTTCTAGGATTGGATTTGTAATCACACCAGCTTCCGCCTCAGTAGTGGAGGAGGCTGAGGGGGTGTTCGGGTCAGAGGTGGACTGACCATTTGGAAACTCGGGCACTGCCCGAGGGCCCGGAATCAGTAGGGGGCCCCATGAGATGCCCCTGGTACCTTTTTCATAGGCTTTTTTGAGTTTGGGCAAGGAAACAGGGGCCCCATGATCCCCTATTGCCCGGGGGCCCCATGATTTGTCAGTCCACCCCTGGTTCGGTTCTGGCGCAGGCCCTCTCTGCTGGCTGGTGAGTCCATCCTCACAGCTGGGCGGCGTGGGTTAGATGAGGAAGGATCCGGAAGCAAGATGGCAGAGGATGGCCCGAATTCCGGCCTCACCCTGGCCACTGTGGCCGAGGTTCAGCAGGTGTCTTCATCCTATGTTTTAAAGTCATGGATGGGGGTACCTCAGACTGCTGGATCAGGTAAGAGAAGAGAAACCAGGGTGTGGGGAGTCAGGAAGCAGGATTAATGCAGGAGGACCAGGGAGCTTTAGAGAAGTGCGACCAGTCACATCCCGGCCACGCCCCCCATGACTGTTTTTTTTATCACTGAGATGCAAAATGGAGGTGAGAATCAATCACCAGAAACAAAAATATATCAACTAATTACCTTACGTTTTGCAGAGAGTCAGTGCATAGCAATGAGACAGTTTCAGATGGAGTTGAGACATCAGACAGCATTTACCTTTGAAAAAGCAAAGAGGACATGATCAGGGGCTGTGTTCAACTGCTGCTTAGCACTCCAGTAGAAAATGCACTCACGCAGGACAATGCCCTATCTGTGACTGTGCCCCCTGTCTGTCTTAGGTGCATTTTAAGTTAAAAAAAAGTCCTGCTTACAGCATCCATGATGCGCTTTCATGAAAACGTATATCATAAATGTAAAATGCTCCACGACATTGTTACAATTCTCATATAGATTCTAGATCCTATGTCCACGTGCAGTTCGGCCCCATAGACTTCTAAAGGGCTGGTAGACAGTTGGCTTCTATCTGTCTGTCAGCTCCATGGAAACCTATGGGGCCAAACTGCACAGATGTGGACATCATATCAAGAAGCGTGTTGGGCAATGTAAACAATACTGTAGACCTCAGGACGAGATCTAAGTATACAGTAGGTATATATATATATGCTAAGTATTTAGATCCCAATAGATCACCCAGCAGCCAGCATCAACAGACCCTTCAGCACACTCCAGCACTCCATGCCATTACAGTACATACATTCAGTGCTGGAGGTACCGAAACTGTGTTCCTCCACATTCCTGCTGAAAAAAACCCAGCTTATAGCAAGTGCAAGTGGAAGTGGACCTTTGGACAAAACTGCACAGTAATTTTTTATCTGCAGACACCCCTTACCTGTATAGGCAGTTCTTTGGTAACAATGAACTAACCCTTTAAATTGTAATGTATCAGTAAAGAGTTTAATAGAACTGTACAGCATATTGTAATGGTGTTTTCTTCATATATAGTATGTGCATTGTATTTTATAATACTTTATAATCATAAACTGTTATGCTGCTCTGAAATTTTCTTTTTTTTTTTTTCAATTTAAGTCGCCCCATCAACACCATTAGACATTTCCTTCTTCAGCTTCATTTCGAAAATAGTGTGATTTGTGCAGCTTGAGCCGACCCTTACTGAGTATCTGTTTAATTGAAATCCTCAATGTAGCCTTAAGACAGAAGATGGAATGATAGGGCCAGCACTGACCAGGGCAGAGAGAAGACATTATTAAGTGCTAATGATAATGGCTTGGTGTAAATGGTTTGTAAATCAGCTTTAATTGCTTTATGTCTAGAGGGCTCTCCAACACATTGCACTGTTTACAAAAAAACAAGGCATGCTCCAATCTCCAAATGTCTCTGACACGTCTTTGATGTGTAATAAAGCGACCAGGACAAACTCTGTATTACCTTCTTTAACGACTCAGCAGTTAACAGCACTAATGAATGTCAGAATGGCACACCATATGTTTTCTTAGAGAAAAACAAACCCAGTTTTGTTAGAGAAATACATCGACCGCAACACAAATATATCACATTATTTCGAGCTTTACTCTTCAGCGGAGGCAATTATGACTAATACTTTGTCCCAAAGCTGATTATCTAGCTATAGGCTGTAGAGCCAAAGCATACTCTGACAACATTGTATACAGGTACACTGTGTTCATCTCCAATGGAATGTGAATGAAAAACTGGCTTCAGCTCAGAACTCAGCCTCTACGATTAAGCCCAATGTGGGTGAAACATGTCAGAGGGCTGTGACCTGGGATCTGAGCTGAAGCCAGTTTTTCATTCCCCTTCCATTGGAGTTGAATGCAGTGTGTGGCAGTACCTGCATGCTATATTACATTTTGGAGTGAGATGTGCTCTATTTCTGTCAGCGCCTGAATAGAGTATAAGCCTGGGAGACTGACACTGCAGACATGGAGAGGAGCCAATCTGTTATCATATTCTGACAGCATGCCATACTCAGGGACATGCATATATATGGCTTATTCACTAACAAATGAGGTTTGCTAAACAGAACACACATAGGGGTTGATTTACTAAAGACAAACAGACTGCACTTTGCAAGTGCAGTTGCATTCTGCAAGGGGAATGCATTAAAGTGGTTGTAAACCTCAATCATGAAATAGGAGCAAAGCATATCCCTCTATAGTTTGTAATTGTTGTAATTCAGAGCACTGTTATTATTATTATACAGTATTTAAAAAGCGCCAATAGTTCGCTCAGTGCTGTACATTACAAAGGGGGACAGAACAATACCAATACAATGCAAAATATTAGGGGATTGAGGGCCCTGCTCTTTTGAGCTTACAATCTAGCACTAAGTGTCATTTCTGTCTGCTGCCTTGTTCCTCTGCTATCAACATGAGTCACTTCTGATGGGTTTTCCTGACACCAAGAGAAAAAAGGTGATAGGGGAGGGCACAGTCTGTGATTGACAGCCACAGCTCTGTTCCTGTGTGTGCTGTGTGAGGGGGGTGTCCCTTCCCTCCAATCAGCTCTCAGAGCTCTCCTCACTGATGTAACTTCAGCTCCCTGCCCCTGGCTTTTTAGAGCTTGGAGATCCTGTGTAAATTCTGCACTTTGAATTTATGTAGAGGGCAGCGCTATAGATAAACAGGTACAACTTATATAGGAGGATTTCTTTCATCTCTGTGTATCACTTGAGGCCAGTCACTTCTCTGGGTATATGTAAGGGTTTACAACCACTTTAAGGTAGAGATCCTGTGTAAATTCTGCACTTTGAATGTATGTAGAGAACAGACCGCTATAGATAAACAGGTACAACTTATGTAGGAGGATATGTTTCATCTCTGTGTATCACTTGAGGCCAGTCACTTCACTGGGTATATGTAAGGGTTTACAACCACTTTAAGGTGGAGATCCTGTGTAAATTCTGCACTTTGAATGTATGCAGAGGACAGACTGCTATAGATAAACAGGTACAACATATGTAGGAGGCTATGCTTCATCTCTGTATATCACTTGACGGCAGTCACTTCACTGGGTATTTGTGAGGGTTTACAACCACTTTAAGGTAAAAAATGTTTAGGCTTTAGAAACACGTTTATCCTTTTTCCTGGTGTTACTTACTATTTGAAAAATGTAACAATGTCTGTTGTCTGTGTTCTAATGCAGGCCATACATGGGTCGAATTCCAAACAAATTTTTTTTTTAGAAAATCGGAAATTTTGTGTGTTTTATAATCCGATGGTTCCACCATTGATTTCAAAATTTGACTGACCAAGCTTTTCATTTACCCTCATGTTGCCACAGAAAAAAAATTTCGTGGCCAAGAATTTTCTTTTCTTTCCCGGTCACAGCTCACGCTCATTGCTTTTTAGATTACATTTCTCACATGATTCTCCCACCATTGATTAGAAATTTGTTCATTTTTAAAAAAAAATTCCAACATGTCCGATCACTCAAATTCGATGGTCGCTCAAAAATTGGCCATTTCTGTGGCCCACGAATGGTGAGAAAGTCGTACGAAAAGTCTTTGGAAAGATTTTCGAAAGAAAATTCTTTCGGAATGCGACCCGTGTATAGCCAGCTTAAGGCCTTATGCACACTAGGCTCTTCTGAACACCTTTCTCCTGAAATGAGAAAAGCAGCATTAAAATCGCACCTAAAGCCACATCTTTCTTTAGAAGCATTCAGGCTCATCAAGCATTCAAGCATTTCATTGGCCAGAATATGAATTTATTCTGCCCTTTGAAATGAATGAATGCTCAAGCACTAAGCACGCCAAGCATTTAGGCACATTTAGGCACGTTTAGGTGTGTGTCGGGCGTTTTTACTGCCCAAATGCACCTCTCCTGAATGTGATTGTGGTGCCTTCATATTTCTGCCCCTAAACACCCCTTTCTGTAAACACCTGTAAATGCCTATGTATGCACGGACTAACATAGAGGGGCATTCAGAAACCAAAAAACACAAACGCCTGTGAAATGGACATTTTACAGCTGCAGTGTGTGTAAGGATTAATAGTTAAAAAAAAAAATACAATCTGACGTTAACCAGAATTCTCATTATGACTCATCTTGGTCAGGAAGGCTCTTCTACTTTTTTATTCTTTAATTAACTGACTAACCTTTTCTGTGGAAAATGTATATTGCAATAGCAATAGATCACCAATTACCTTTAAAAACAGGTGCATTCAGTGAACTGAGAGCATAATCGTGTTTTAGCAGTGAGTACAGATGCTGTAAAATACACATGGGCCTGGGGCAACTACTAAGACCACCATTAGACATCCCTGAGGCATCTGTATCCCTTCATAAAAGATTAAATGACTGTCTTTAAATCAAAGGGTCATCTCATTTGGACAGTATGGGTTCCATTACTAAAACGTCCGCTGGTTGGCTTCAGGCAACTATCCTTTTTCCCATGCTTAACACATAACATTAATAGAAACAGTTAGCTTCCAACCCAGCAGTCATTGTTACCTTAGTCTACCCCATACAGTATACATTCGCTACAGTATGTCTTTTTCTTTTTCCTTTGTCATAAGTGCTTTAAAAGCACAGATACCTGTAGGTGAGGTGAGTCTTTGGTTAGAAATTGTTATAGTTGCCAGGAAGAGGAACATCTTGGGTAGTAGACTG